GCAGCTCTGGGCACCAGGTTCTTGTTCCGTGCTTTTTGCAAGCTATTGTATACGCTGGTAAGCTGCTGCTGTTAGGACAGCAGTGCACCGTGTCTTCCTTCGTCCTCTGTCTCCCCTCCTGCCCCTCCGAACTTTGAATTACGAGACCTGAGCAATAAAGCGAGTAATGTAAAAATACACAACGAATACCGAGTAATAAATGCATAAGATGATACGAAAATTACTGCAGGGCATAAGACGAGCACTGGCACACCCGGGCGCCTTCGACGTGGACTGCGGCGCAGAAAGCGGTCGTACGCCATCCAGCCAGCAAGGAAACGGCGTCTGGTAAGGACCTACAAAATACCATAATTTGTAGTCAAAACGGCGGAGCAGTTTCGCAAAAGCAGAAATCGCTGGTTTTGACGTTGGCAGTAAAAACAATTTTTATCCACGTATGACTTTACCTTGCTAAATGTAAGCTTCCACTTATGCGCCGCATTTGAAATCAAATCTTTATGCAGTTTTGATGGTGAAAGCCGCAGACATTCCTGTATGCGCCCGGGCGGTGCAAGGCTTTAGAAAAAAAGACCATTTAGACAATTCCGACACATATCACCCTGCTCCCCTCCCCTCCCCTCCCCCCTCCCGTATGCTGAGCATGCGCTTATTAATTAACCACCGGAGTGGTAAGTTAGAGCTAAAAGCGGGTCGAGCACAGTGGGGAAATTGCCTGCAGTCTGCATCAAATCTGCAACACTGAAAATGCAAATCAGTTATTTGGATCAGTAAAATTTAGCCGTGCGATGAAGCCGGACTTGTATTATCAGTACAGTCCTGGACGGGAAACCTACTCGAGAAAAGTATTCGTTGGCGGCCTGCCGGTCGATATTGACGAAGGTTACTCACTTCCACTGCAGTCAGTCTACTCTTGAAATGAAATCTGTGCAAACCTTTTCTAGTGCAGAGTATCGTCGACATCTAGAACCACTTACTTTGCCAAGTTTGTACTGGAAAATATAGAGGCTTAGCCTCCACATACTAATTGGAAATACAAAGCTGATCAAGTAGAGCACATTTTTCAACCAAAATTTCTTTGTACAGTACATCTTCACACCAACAGCCGTCATATTTATCGGACATCCAAAACATCAAGTCCCCAAAATACTGCAGTCCACAGCGAACAAAAGCGTAATAGCGATTTAGAAACACTTCCCAACGAACCGCACTCCAAAGCTTCCACTCCAACACTAAATCAAGGACCCCTCCTGTCCTGGCCTGAAGTATAATCCCGCTCTAGCTGGGCGGTTCATGCAATGCAATCATCGACCAGTCACGATGGCGGGAGTGCAGCAGTCGTTTTTTCGCGTTCTCTCGCCCTCGCGACAAAGCCTACTTCGAAACTCGGGAAGTTTCGAGGCCTTGCTGTGGAAATGTTATTTCCACTGCTCCTCCTTTTCGCGCTCTTCCCTCCTGCAAAGCTCCCTTTCGTTGGCAGGACAGTGTATGGTTCGCTTGAGAGTAAGGAGTGCCTTCAGTAAAGCTGGAGAATTTAAAGAATTTTTGATTACTTTCATTCTAGTACTTGCCAGCAGCTAGAGTGAATGTGCTTTTCAGCATTTCCTTGCTTAACATTGAAATTTATAAATTTCGCTTTACCAAGTGAAATATTTTATTTGAATTGCAGACGAACTGACCGCAAAATTCAGTCGTTTCGGGCCATTGGTGGTCGACTGGCCGAACAAATGTGAAAATAAAAGCTATTTCCCGCCCAAAGGTTTGCAAGTTATAGCAATAATTGTACCCACAATGACTGCACAACACTGCATCTACTAATGCGCCTGGGTGAGTTTCCGAGAGTTAGTCCGCTTTTTTTTCAGAAAGTAGTTTTTGATATTTCGTTACCATAGTTTCCAACGACCTCCACATTTACCAATTTATGAAACTGAAAGGAAGTGACTTGCTACTCCCCAGCCCTCCACAAAATTGCCAAATGCAAAGCATCTGTTTAGCACCATACACACATCTTAGGCAACGTGTACACGCATTTTAGGCTACGTGTTTCTCATTTTTGAATTCGAGGAAAGTGTCTGCGCACTGGTCGATTCGTGTTTCATGGAAGACGAAAAGCTCTTCTTGCACATCTCCAGCGCATTGTCGCCCGACAAACTTGTAAGCGCTTCGTGGCGTCAGTTTCTTTTTTTTT